AGCAGAGACAGATTCCGGGGCTCTGTGGGGCGGGGGGCGCCTCTCTGGAAGGCAGGCGCTCCCTGAGGTGGGACCAGGGGTGCTGCAGGCGTGACCTAAGAAACAGGCAGGACCTCACTCTGGGACAAGAGGTGAAGTCCTGGGGGATAGGACGCCCAGGGTGGCAGTGGGGTGGGGGCTGGGATGGCGTTGTGGGCAGGGCTCTGAGAATCAGGAGGTTGTAGCCGGGAGGGCTGTCCGTGGATGCCTGTGTCCCTAAGAAGAAAACCTCCAGCCACGCAGCAAAGTCTTCAGCAAACGAGTGAGAAGTCCCAGCAGCTCTGCGGCCCGAGAGCCTCTGCGCCAAGCACAGCCTCAGGGAGGGACATCTGGCCCCGCCACTCGTGGTGGGGTGTGGTGCCAGGCCCCAGGGGTGCAGCGGTGGGAAGGCCTGCCCCAAGATGAGCAAGTCCTGACAGCCCACGGGGAGGCCGGGGAGGCCGCGGTAGGGCGGGAGCCACATCCCCTAGAAGGTCCTAGCTGCTTCTCTGCGAAGCTGCCTGGTGCGCACAGGCAGAGCCAGGGAAACCAAGGCCACAGGGCTGCCGACAGAGGACCAAGGGCGGCAGCCCTGCACTGAAGACCGCAGCTCCTCCCCTGCATCCACGCCCAGCAGGAAGAGCAGGTGTCGGACTGCGTGACACACCACCCACACCATCACCGTGTCTCGGTGTCCTCCCGTGATCGTCAGGGCTGGACACGCTCTTGGTCACTTAAAATTTCATCCTGAATAGATTAACTCTAGCATCCTCAGAATGCTCTGGACTAGGCTAAGTAAAGACACCGCCTGCTCATGGAAAACCAGCCTCATAGCCTCACCATGGCTGACTCAGCCTCACCTGCCCACTCAGGCTTCTTTCTCATTCCACACCCTCTCCTCAGCCTCACGGTGAAATGCTGTCTGCACCCAGATGCACCCCAAAGGCTCAGCTCCACTTGCAGCCCAGCTCACACGTCCACATCTCCACCTAACTGTCCCTTCACCTCTAAACTAGCACGTCGAAAAGTTACTTCTGACTTCTCCCCAGCCCGCAAATCCCACTGATCTCAGAGCCTGAGACCCCTGGCTCTCCCACACCCACCTCCAATCCATCAGCCAATCCCACTGGCCCGAAATCCAACCTGTGACCCTGGCCCCAGGCCATCACCATTAGACTACAGCCTACAACTTGCAACCACAGCCCCCAGCCCAACCCTCCGCACTTTGGTCCTTTGAAGCAAAGTCACATCCGGCCCAGCTCTGGTCAGAACCCTGCACTTCTCCCCCGAGAGAGCCAAGTGCCATGGGGCTGTGGGTGCTGACTGCAGTTGGGTGCCCACCTCTGCGCTAAGCCACGGCTCTGCCCCAGCCCCCTCCCCAGTGTGGAGCCCACCCCTCCCTCAGCCCCAGCTCTCAGAGCCATGCCTCCCCAGCACCCTGAGGCCTCATCCACTCCCAGCCTTTGCAGTCGCTGTTCCCTCTACCTGGCACTCCGTTACCTGCTGTCTCCAGGGCCCCAGGGGCCTTCAGGAGCCTTTCAGGCCGCCCAAAGCCCCTTTCCCACATCCCTGTCTTCCTGCTGGCCCCGGGCACAGGCCACCATCCCATGTGCCCTGTGGCAGCCTGTTCATTGGCCTGTTGTCTGTTTTCTGCGATGCCTGAGCTCCAGGCGCAGGAGCCTCTCTGCTGCTGCTGTGGTTCAGGAGGCCAGGAAGGACCCAGCAAACATTGCTGAATGATGCCTGAGAAAAGAGTTCTATAAAATGACTTTGGGGCAGAGGGTCAGAGCCCAACTAACCCCACCCTGGACCCCCACCAGGACCAGGACCCCAGGCTGGGCCGGCAGTAAGGCCCTCACTCACCACTAACCGTGGGACAGCTGTCCCCTGCAGCCTGTGGGGCCCCCTCTCTGACTCAGCACAGAGACTGATGGAGAGATGTGGGCTGACACTGGACCCCATGTGCAGGGAGGGGCCAAGGACCCCTTGTGGGGTCGGTCCTGGGCGCCTTCCTATCACCTCCTGGGCAGTGTCCTAGTGTCTGTACTCCCTTCAATGCCCCACTAAGGGGTTCTTCTGTCCCCCTCGTGTGACCCTCACGGTGACCACTGGAGATCAGGGAAGTAAGTGACCAGGAGGCCGGCCTGGAGCCTCAGCACCAACCATCTGAGCGGGCAGTGTGGAGCCCCCCTGGATGGCAGGGTCTAGGGCATGGCCTAAGGCCCACTCCTGCACCTCCAGCTCTGGCCAAGGGTGTGCAGTGGTTTCTTCCTGAGCCCCTCCTCTTCATGGAGCAGCTGCTGGGTGGCGAGGGTGTCGCCAGCTCCCACCTCCTACCTCTGGATCGCACCTGCTCTGGCCCCAGAAGGACAGCAGAGGAGGGCAGCTTTCACTTTGGGCTCTGATTCTGGCCACTTTGACTGACAAAGCTGATCACAGGAGAGTTGGGCCCCCGGGCAGGGGCCGGGGCCTCCCAGGAGGAGCTGTGGCCATGTGGGTGTCTTGTGCACTGGCCCCTGGGACAGCAGGAAGGGGCCTCGCCCTCTCCGCCAGCTCCAGGTCCTCCTCCTCCTCCTCCACCTGCCTCTCTTCTGTGGGTTCTTTTCATGCAAGAAGGGAGTGAGTGAGGACGGAGGTCAGCTTCCCATTTAAGACGAGGTTATCCTCTAGAAATGCACTCGTGGCCTGGGGAGGGGGGTGGCATGGGCTCCCAGGCTGCCTGGCCCTCGACCGCTCTCCCCATGCAGAGAGGACTGGAGTCCCTCATGCTTCTTCCCAAACAACCTGACTCCTGCTCCTGTGAAACACGGACACTGGGGGAGGACCGCTTCGGTCCTGGCTATCAATCGCTGTCTCCAACTAGGGGGTCTTCTATTGTGAAGGGGACCTTTGTAGTCAGGCTCATCTCATTTTGCATACTCAAGGCTCCGTCCTGGTGGGAAGGCATCTGGATGGTCGCAGGGAACCCGACAGCCCTGGGAAGGAGAGACCTGCGGGCCCAGCACCCAGAGCTGGGTTCAGCTGAGGGCAAGACACGACCTGTGGAAGTCCCCGGTCAGCCTTGCGTGCCTGCAGGACCATGGCTGCTGCGTCTCTCACCTGAGCTCTCCGAGGGCTCAGGACCAGGTGAGGAGCTGTTTCTGCCCCAGAGAACTGTCAGGTCCCCAGCGACAGGAGGGAAGAGCTTGGACAGGGCTGGGACCTGAACCCCGCTCTGCCACCGGAGACCTTGTCAGTCTCTGCCCGGGTGGAGCTGGGGGTGCGTGTGTCTGTCCGGGAGCGTGTCTGTGTGTGCGTGCTCTCTGGGCTGGGCAGGGTGCCTGTCGGGGGCTGTCAGTAGACAGGTCTGTGTGAAGGGCTGTGTGTCTGTGGTTTGGGGATTACGCTGGTGTCAGAGCTGTGCTTGTCCACGTGTTTATGTGGACAAGTGAGTTCGTGGCTCATGAGGCTTGAGTGGGGGGTTTGGCGTCTGCCTGTCACCTGGGCAGGTGGTGTGTGTGCAGGGATGTCTGTGTGTCTGTCTGAGGCACGGGTGCTGACGTCGGTGTGTGTCTTCACCTGCCTGGGGTGCAGTGTCTGCGTGAACGGCTGCTCGGGGGCCTGTGGGCCTGGTGTGGAGGGGATGCCGGGCGTCTGTGGGTGGGTCTGGGCTTGGGGGATGGTGGGTCAGGTTTGGGGCGTGTATGTGTTGACAGTGCGTCATGGTGCAGGACTGGGACCTCACAGTTTGTCTCCCCGAGTCTGTGTGACAAGAACTCAGAGTCCTGTGCAGTGCCACCTCCCACCCCAACAGATAAGTGGTGCTTCTGCTCCATCTTTTAGACAGAGAAACAGGGGCTGGGTGAGCACAGACATCTTTTCCAAGTCCCACAGCTGGTCAGTGGCAGGTCTGAGCAAACTCCAGTTGTCAAGGTCACCAGGAGCCACAGTGGGGAGTGGAGAGAGAGGGGCCCGGGGGGAGGACTTCTGCCCAGACCCTCACCATGCTGGGAGCCGACACTGCACCACAAAGGTCTGACCAGGCTCCCTCCAGCTACATGAGGTCACTGCCACCCCCACCGGCCACCGGGCACCCCAGGGGGCTGTAGCAGATGTGGGTTTCCAGAGTGCACCCCCACCCTTCATGACCCCTATGGGACAGCTGAGAGACTGGATGCACAGAGAGAGCAGGTATCTGTCCAAGGCACAGGTGGAGGGTGGGGTTGAACCCACACCCCGGAGCTCGGGCCTCTGCTGCCTCCTGAAGTCTTTGTGGGGCGGAAGCTGGGAGTTCCTGCTGCCTGGAGCAGCACTGAGAACAGGGGCAAAGGCAAGAGTCTAGGCTTTCTGTCCTCCCCTTCCATTCTCCAATATATGACCCACCTTGTTTTAGCCACCGACGGGGTGCTACTGCAATGTCAAGTGTGTGGACTCGCTCAGGGCCACGTTCTGAGGCACTTAAAGTGCAGATAAGAAGCTAAAACCCCAGCCACACTACAACTGAGTGCACTGATTTTTAAATGGGTTTTGGAGAACTGGAAACGGAGGCCTGGCTCACAGGGACGTCTGGAGGGCCCATTTCTGGGACAGACAGACAGGTTTATGTGGGGCAGGGGTGCAGGGGGCCGGCAGGAGGGAAGAGAGCGAGGAGCCGCAGGGAGGTGGGGAGAAGGGAGCTGACTTCTGACCTTAGGATCCGGTCCTTTCAAGTCTGTGAAAACAATTTCTTGTAGCAGAGAGGAAGCTGCCACCAGCCCTGCCCCCTCGAGCTCCTTACTGTCACTGCAGGGGGGGAGCTGGGGGAGGGGTGCTGAGATCTGCACAGGGAGATGCCCCCAGAGCTCCCTGCAGAGCTGTGGCCGCAAGACCAGGCTTAGCTAGGACTGCGCCGGAGCTGGCATGGGGTCAGGCAGCTGAAGGCTGAACCCTGAGGCCATGGAGGGGACTCAGCTTCTGGGGCACAGGTGAGGACACAGTCCAGAGCCGTGAGGGGATCCAGAGTGGGGAGTTGTGGGTTCCTGGGTCCCGCTGATTCCTCGGGAGCCTGAATTCTCCTTGGGAACAGGCGTCATCCTTTGGGGGTGCTGCTGAGTGCCAGCAGTGCTGTGTGGCCGGCTTTACCCCAGGCGTCCTGGGTAAACTCTGCAGGGCCAAGTACAGAGGGGGACACCAAGTCTCTGGGTGGTGGGGACCTGCCACTTACCTGCGAAGTCAACAGGAGCCTGGCTCCAGGCAGGGCTCTTCCCACGGGCCCAGGCTCACCTGCCCACTGCCCCTGACCTGGGTGACCTGGGCCATGGCCTCTCCCACCCACCCTGCTACAGCGTGTTTGCAGGTCCCCAGGTTGGCCTCTGAGGTGTTCTCATGGGACCCTGCTCATATTCCCTACAATGTAACGGCTTCGTCTAATACCTGCAGCCAGGCCTGGCGGGCGGGCCCGCAGCAGACAAAGCCCAGGTCTGCCCAGCTCCCACCCGTGGGAGTGCCCGGTGGGAAACTCGTGGTGCCGGGGACCAGGCCCTGGGCAGCACTGGGGGATGCAGACAGGGACCAGGACCCCTCCTGCGCCGGGAGCTCAGCTGACACCGCGGCAGGAGGTGGGCATCCAATCCACGCATCCCCGCCCCCAGGTGGGGCAGCGCACAGCATGTCTGCAGGTGGCAACCACTCGGAAGTGACCGAGTTCATCCTGGTGGGCTTCCCGGGCTCGCTGGGCCTCCACATGGGCCTGCTGGTGCTGTTCCTGCCGGCCTACCTGCTGACCGTCACGGAGAACGTGCTCATCATCGTGGTGATCCGTGCCAGCCCCCTACTGCACAAGCCCATGTACGTCTTCCTCGGCAACCTGTCCTTCCTGGAGGTGTGGTACGTCTCCGTCACGGTGCCCAAGTTGCTGCTCAGCCTGGTGGCGCCCGAGTTCCGCCGCATCTCCTTCGCGGGCTGCATGGCACAGCTGTACTTCTTCCTGGCGCTGGCCTGCACCGAGTGTGCACTTCTGGGTGTCATGGCCTACGACCGCTACGTGGCCATCTGCAGCCCCCTGCGCTACCCAGCCATCATGAGCCCCCGCCTCTGCAGCCTCCTGGCCGCTGGCTCTTGGCTCTCGGGCTTCACCATCTCCGTGGGAAAGGTCTTCTTCATCTCGCGCCTGGGCTACTGTGGCCCCAACGTGATGAACCACTTCTTCTGCGATGTGTCCCCACTGCTGAACCTGGCGTGCTCCGACATGTCCGTGGCGGAGCTCGTGGACTTCCTCCTGGCGCTGCTCATCCTGCTGGGGCCGCTGCTGCTCACTGTCTCCTCCTACACCGCCATCATCAGCGCGGTGCTGCGCATCCCGTCTGCCGCCGGTCGGCACAAGGCTTTCTCCACCTGCGCCTCACACCTGACCGTGGTGGTCATCTTCTACTCGGCCTCCCTCTTCATCTATGCCCGGCCTCGCGCCATCTACTCCTTCGACCTCAACAAGCTGGTGTCCGTGGTCTACACCGTGCTCACGCCCCTGCTCAACCCCATCATCTACTGCCTGCGGAACCGGGAGGTCAAGGAGGCCCTGCACAGGGTGGTGCAGGGGGCGGCCCAGACCCTGGGTGCCTCGTCCTAGGACCCGCCCCGACCCCGCCCCCACCCCACCCCCAGGACCTGTCCCGGAACCACCTGGGGCCGCCCCCAGGTCATGCCCCCAAACCCACCCAGGGCCCCTCTCACTCAGCGTTCACGCACCTGGTCAGCGGCTGACAGGCCCTGGGCTGACCCATGACCCCCAGTGAGGGCATCACGGAGGGCGAGGACCCTGTGATGGGGCCTAGGGGCAAGGTGGGAGTGAAGGGAGCTCCGTCCATGTGGGACAGGACTGTCTGATGCACCAGCAGTGGTGCTGGGCGGCCCAAGGGTCTCTCTGGGTGGGAGGGTCTCTCCACCATCCACAGGGAAAGGCCAGCAGGAACAGAGCCCCAGCTTTGCCCCTTCTGCCAGGACTGTGGGCAGAGCTAACCTGAGAAGCCCCCTGCTGGGCAGACTTGGTGCTGACCACCCATCACTGCTCCAGCTGCAGGCTCTAAGAAGCCAGCCTCTCAGCTGCCATGGCGGCCACTACATTGGTACAGATGTCCCATGAGAGACGCCTTTACGTTAAAAATCATGCGCACGCCCCTCTTGCAAAATGGGCATACTTTCAAATCAAACTTCTGTAATGTGATCATTTTAAAAAGCACAGTGAAAATACTGGGTCATTGATTTGTCATTTAATTAATAAAGTGAGTGTTGGGTGCCAGCCCTTGCCGGGTGCTGCTTGGCCCTGCACAGACCAGGTGGGTCAGGGAACTCACGCCTGGTTTACATACCTGGGAGCAACAGGTGCAGCTTGGGCACTGCCTGACATACAGCAAGCTCTGCAAGGTGCCGGGGTCACAGGGCCTGTCCCCCAGGGGCACAGAGGCTCTGAGGGATTGGGGTGGAGTCCGTCCCAGCAGGAGAGGAGGGCTCTGCAGAAGAACAGCAGTGACAGAGGCAGAGAGGAGGGAGGCCACACCCAGACCAGGCTGAGCTCAGGTCTGGGAATGTCACACAGGTTGTGCAGTGCCTGGGTCTGGGGCCCAGAGAGAAGGGGCCAGAAACAGAACCGTCGGAGTCACCAGTATATGGCGGGTAACCAGAGTCAGGAGCGTGGGTGACGTGGCTGGGGAAGGCTGCATAGCCAGAAGGGAAGAGGCCAGGGGAGTGGCCCTCAGACAAGGTGGGAAGGACACAGAGGACCTGCAGGTGGGTGACCCAGGTCCCAGGAGCTCTGGGCACAGCCGCTGGGAGAACCAGGTGGAACGAGGACTGACGAGTTTCCCCTGACTTGTCGGCAGACGGCCAGGCATCAGCATCAGCATCGGGGAGCAGTGTCCTGGGTCGGGGGTAGTGGAGGAAGCGCACAGGGGTGGGGTGGGGGCACCTCCTGGTCCTCCTTCTGCAGAGGTTGAAAGAGAGAGACCGGAGATGAGAAGACAGAGGGGCAGCAAGGTTTGGGGCAGGAATGAGGTGCAGGGAACAGGCGGGATGGCCTCAGCCTCCCCACTGAGGGAAGGGAGAGGCCTCGCTCTTGAGGCCATGAAGCCCTCACGGTTCCGAGCCCCAGGACCCTGGTGGGGGTCTCCCTACCGGATCCTTCAGAGCTGTAAGGACGGCCTCCCTCCTAGGCCTCCTCTGTGTCAGCCCCTCCTCTGCAGGCCATGCCCAGGTTCCTGGACTCTGCCTGGGACCATTCTCCTCCTAAACTGCCCTCCCAGCAGCTCCTGGAGACCACAGCAGGACCCTCCTCTGGGCTCCAGACATACAGCTGCCCACCGATGGCCAGCCATGGGTCTCACAAGCCGTCACTCCACACAGCCCACCAGCTGCTGGTCACCCTCCTCCCACCAGTGATGACCTCCTCCTCCAGGTGGGACGGAGCCTCCCTCTGCCCCGCGGCCCAACCCCTGGCATTCCCCCTCTGCTGCTTCAATAGCACCAGCCCCGCAGGGCTGTGAGTCTGTCTGCTCTGCCCTGTGCCTCATGGGCTCCCTGCTGGGACCACCCTAGTCTCCTGCCCCTCCACCACTCACTCACTCATCCTGATCAAATCCCTATTGGCCGTAGGATAAATCCCCAAATCCTTAACAGGACCCTATGATCCAGCTCTCGCCAGCCTCCCAGCCTGGGTGCCCCAGGCTGCACCCCATCTCTCCCAGCCTGCTCCTGTGGGGCCCCAGCCCTCTCCCCAGGAGACCCTGTGATCCAGCTCTCGCCAGCCTCCCGGACTGGGTCCCCCAGGCTGCACCCCACCTCTCCCGGCCTGGGTCCCCCAGGCCTGCACCCCACCTCTCCCGGCCTGGGTCCCCCAGGCTACACCCCACCGCTCCCAGCCTGGGTCTCCCAGGCTGCACCCTACCTCTCCCAGCCTGCTCCTGTGGGGCCCCCAGCCCTCTCCCCAGGAGACCCTATGATCCAGCTCTCGCCAGCCTCCCAGCCTGGGCCCCACAGGCTGCACCCCCCCTCCCATCCTGCTCCTGTGGGGCCCCAGTCCCCTCCCCAGGATGCTGAGGGGGTCAGGCCCTGATGCCCCAGCACCTCCCACCAGCTTGTCTCCAAGAGGGACTTGCACAGAGCCCCCCACAAATGGCCCCAGCTCCCAGGGCTGTCCACACTGTGTCTGTCCATCCACTGTGTTCATTTGTTCCATCCCCTCCCCCCACTGAATTGCCACAGGGCTGGGCCACGCCTGCTGAGGCCACCAGCATGATGCTCATGGGATGAGGAAGCGAGAGGTCCACTGAGAGCCAGAAGAAGCAGAGGGGGTCCCCTACAGGCGGAGGGTGGAGCCTTTTCTCATAGCAGCTGCTGGGGGAGGAAGTTAGCATCCAGTCGGCCCCCTCAGCTGAGCCAGCGCTGCCTGCCCTTCTGCCTCGTGTGATGCCCCCGTTTGCCCATTTTCTCGGACCATGTACTTCCCGTGGCTACTCCTTTCTGTCCGTGCCATGAAGCCTGGGGCTGCTTCACTAGAGAAGGAAGAGGCCTCGTGTGCCCAGCCCCACCCCTGTGTGCGCGAGCAGCCACCAGCGGCCAGCGCCCACCCCGCCAAGCAGGACACCTCGTCAGCGGTGAGGAGGCCCTGCTTCCTGGGCCAGTGCTCACCCTGGGCCCTTGGCCCGCGACCACCCCTGGGCCCTCCTCCAGGCCACTTCCTCCAAGAAGAACAGCTTCTCAGTAAAGATGGAGGGTGGGGGACAATGGACCCCCACCTCAAATCCCACCAGAATGATGGTAAAGGGACCCCCAGGGTAATGACTGAGGGGACGACAGCAACGTTTCAGAAACCAGGTCAACGGGGCGGCCTTGGGGAGCAGGGGGCTGAGTGACGCTACCATAGGCGGAGCTGGGCAGGGAGCACCCACCTGCCCAAGGCACCTGTGAAAGTGAGATGCAGGTGGGGCTGGAAATGGGGTTTTGGGGAAGGCGGTAAAGCCCAGCCTGATGCCCAGAGCTCCAGAGACAGTGGTGTGGGACCAGGACACACCCAGATGCTGGAGGACGTCAAGGGAAGGTCCCGAGCTGGACAGCAAGACCCCAGCCCTGCAGCCTGGGTCCCTCCAGATAGGAGCTTGGATGGAGCTTCTCTGAGAAATCCCACGAACACCCAGAACCAAGGACACTGACTGCTGGGTGCTCCAGCTGAGCGACCCTCCGTGGGCACAGTCAGCAGTGTGGGCTGGGAGCTGAGGGTCACCAGACTTCTGACGAGGGAGGGAACTAAGGGAAAGAGGAAGTCGGAGGAAACAGAGCTCGCAGGGGGAGGAACTTCATGAATATCCTTAAGGACATGTGAAAACACGCACTGCATCCTTGACACAACAGAGCACTAAAAGAAAGGAAAAGGAAAGAGAAAGGAGAATTCAGAGAAAGAGAGAGAAAGCTCTTGCAAACTGGAAATACGATGGCAGAAATAGAAACTCCGTAAGGGTTGGAAGTGAACTGAAGAAATCACTCAGGAAATCGAGCCGAAGAGTGACATGGAAAATGGATACCAAATGCATGTTAAGACTGGGGAGCTGAGGGGCGAGGGGCTAGCTCAGAGGCAGAGTGCATGCTTAGCACACAGACGGTCCCAGGTTCAGTCCCCAGCCTCCTCCGAAAATGAATAAACGAGGCCGCCTCTCTCGCTCCCGCGTCTCTGGAGACGGCCCGCACTCCGTCTACGGAGTGTGCACCTACTTTTACTTTAACCTGAGCACCCAGCCCGACAGCTCCTGGCCTTCTCCCAATTTGAAACAGCCTACGCTCTATACAGTGTGCATGTCTCTAAATAAACCTACCTTTACTCTAAACAAATACATAAAAGTAACCCTAACCCCCCAAGTTTTTTTAAAAGTTAATGCACTTTTTTAAAAATTGGGGAACTGGCCCAGAGATCAGATATCTAAGCAAGAACTCGAGAGACTTCAGAGGAAACGGGATCTTGAGACCCAGCGTGGAGAACTGAGCACTGCAGAGTAACCCTTTCCTGAGGACAGCTGGGTAAGGGGGTGAACCGTGTTTCAATCTGCAAAGCAGCAAAGGGACAAGGGTCAGCGAGGACCTGCCAGGCTGAGGGACAGGGACCACGGTGCCCAGCGTGGGGAGCCCAACAGTCAACCTTCTGGCCAGCTGAGGCCCCACAGACCCCACCGACACGGCGACTCTGGAAACCCACACCCTGCCTAGGAAGGGGCTGCACGCTAGGAATGAGGGTGAACCGGACTTCCTGAGGCCCAGAGCACTGCGAGCACAAAAGTGCAGGCTTTGAACTTGGAGCCGCAGGGGTCTAGCCGACTAGCCCCACCATGAGTCTGGAGGAAGTAACAGCTAACAAACCACCCCCAGAGGAAGACAACATCTACGTCTGAGCTCCTAGTGCCTTCAGATAATGCTTCAAATACGCTATTCAGCACATAATCAAAAATAATGGGACACCTGAAGAAGTGAAAGGTCATGAGCAACAGCCGGTGTCAGATCAGGAAGAAAACCGAAAACCACTGTATTTCCAAGACCCAAGGAGGCAAAGCAGGTGGGAGTGGGGAGGACGCAGAAGACTGAGCAGCACCG